TGGTTCTGTTACCGTTTGGGGTTGTTTCACGCGAAATGGAATTGGTGAATTATGTATTTTGGACCGATTTTATTATCGTGACATCTTAGAGCAGCATTTGTTACAATCGATCCAAAAATTTAATTTTGGACAAGAATTTTTTTTCGTCCACGATAATGATCCCAAGCATACATCAGGTCTAGTCAAGGCTCAAACAAAACAATAATCAAACATTAGCTTGGCCTTCAACCTCGCCTGATCTCAATCCCATAGAACATCTATGGGATGAGATCGACCGGAGGATGAAGAAACACAAGCCGAAAAATATCTACGAACTTGGAGACCTCTTGAAGAACGAATGGAATAACGTCGAGTTGTCTGTTCTCCAGAAACTTGTTGATTCAGTACCAAGTAGATTACAAGAATGCATCAAGATAAATGGTTACCCAACACGATACTAGATTCGATGAAATACCTGTTTCGCGATGTACAAAATTTTTTTTCTTTTCTCTGGGCCAATAATTTTTGTACATAATATTTGAACAAACTTATACTGTTTTCTCAATAAAACAAGAACGAAAGTAATTGAAAAGCTGAAACTTGTTGTATATATACTAGTGGTAACAGACGACACAATGATATTAACACTTAGTAATTCTCTCCTATAGTTCTAATATGCCAGCAAAAATAAAGTAGTTATGCAAGGGTAGGCCAATAATTTTTGGATTCACTGTATATATATATATATATATATATATATATATATATATATATATATATATATATATATATATATATATATATATATATATATATATATATATATATATATATATATATATATATATATATATATATATATATATATATATATATATATATATATATATATATATGTATATATATATTATATATAATTTAATATACTATAGTTATATATATATATATATATATATATATATATATATATATATATATATATATATATATTATAATTATATATATTATAAATATATTATAAATATATTATATATATATATATATATATATATATATATATATATATATATATATATATATATATATATATATATATATATATATATATATATATATATATATATATATATATATATATATATATATATATTATAAATATATAATGAAAATAAAATTTAATGAAAATTTAATCCGTATTATAATGAATACAACGTTTTGGAAACTAAAGTTCAACGTTGAATCAACGTAAATACAACGTTGTAGCAACTTAAAATACAACGTTGTGCCAACGTATAAAATAAAACGTTGTATCAACGTAGAAAATATAACCATTTTCCGACTTTAAAAAAACGTTTTATTAACATTGGTTTTTAGTTGTTGGCGACGTTGCATTTTTAACCATAATGATATAAAAACAACGTTGGCAGCCGATGTTGGGCCAACGAAACGCGCGACATTGTTCTAATGTTTTTACAATTTATGTGCGCTAGCTGGGTATTAGGTACCCCAAGAAGACCTAACGGTCTTGTCACAGAGCATTGCGGATGTGCATTTAACCAGAAAGTTCACGCCTTCTTCCTTACCGTGACACGAAAATATGTCTAAGGCTCGTTTCGAGCCTGGGTTTTCTGCTTCTAAAGCAAGCGCTCTAACCTGTTTGCCACGGCCGTACATAGCTGTAATACCAAATGATAATATCGCTACCAAACAATACCAACAAAACCTATACTTTCGACATCACTATTGCGAAACCTCAACTGAACATGCAATTATCCAATTTGTACGTGAAATCTCAAAATCATTTGAAAAATCACAATATACTTTAGGACTTTTTATTGATCTATCAAAAGCTTTTGATACGGTTGATCACCAAATTCTAATCTATAAACTTAAACAATTTGGAATAAAAAATAAAGTTTTAAAATGGTTTGAGAGCTATTTGTCAAATCGTAAACAATTTGTTCCGAGTAATGACGGTTATCATACCAATTGTCTTTCTACAACATGTGGAGTCCGACAAGGCTCAATTCTTGGTCCACTCCTTTTCCTAATTTATATTAATGATTTAAATAAAGCCTCTAAACTAACAAGTATTATGTTTGCAGATGATACTAACTTATTTCTTTCTAACAGTGATATCTTTGAACTTTTTAAAACAATGAACAAAGAGCTTATACATATATCGAGTTGGTTTAAATGTGATAAGTTAACTCTAAATTCTAATAAAACAAAGTGGACCTTATTCCATTCGCTTTCCAAAAAACGGTATTTGCCATTAAACTTACCTAAAATTTTTATTGATCAAAATGAAATAAAAAAGGATTCCGTAACAAAATTTTTAGGTGTTTATCTTGATGAAAACATCTATTGGAATCATCATATCGACTACATAAGCACTAAAATTTCAAAAAACATAGGAGTTTTATATAAAGCACGAATCTACCTCAATAAAAAAAATTTATTCAAACTTTATTACTTATTTATACACAGTTATTTAAATTATGCTAATATCGCCTGGGGTAGTACAGAAAAAAGTAAGTTGCAACGTCTTTATCGCCGTCAGAAACATGCTATCCGTTTAATTTGCTTTGCAAATCGCTTTTCTCACGCAAAATATTATTTTATTGAAATGAGAATTTTAAATATATACGAGCTAAATATATATAATGTTTTATGCATTGTATACATGTGGAAAAATGACTTGTCTCAATCTGTCTTCAAACATATTTTTACTCCGAAACCCATCGACAAATACAATTTGAGAAATACTGATTTTTTAAATGAACCTTTCTGTCAAACGAACTTTAATCAATTTTGTATTGCCATCGGGCACCACACCTTTGGAATAAAATTGTTTTGCCCAATTTTGACTTCGAACTACCCATTACTTTTCGCTTTTTTAAAAGTAAATTAAAAACCCTAATTTTTTCATTAGAAGACGTATTATGTTATTATTAATAATATACATTAATAACTTTGCCTTTTCTTATTTATATTTGTAAAAAGTTTATTCTTACTTATTTTGTTGATTTTATATTCTTTACTTAACGTATACGTTTATATAAAATATTGGTGAGTAGATCTCTCTTTGGATTATATAATATATATTTGGATTATATATATATATGAAATTTGTAAAAGTTTGATACTGTTAATGCTTGTTTGAACTTATTTAAGGTTCTGACGACAAGATCCTTTGATCTTCTTTCAGATACCTTATTTTATATTTGTGAAAGTTTATTATTATTATCATTATTTTTTTTTGGCAATATATAATTGTAATACGACCAACAAATGTAAAATTAAAAAAAAAAAAAAAATCTCGAAATCGTTACTGTAAAGTAGTGCGCCGATACCAGACGATAAACCAAGACTCGATTCCAACTATCTAGTGTCTAATAAATATAGCATCATGCAAAGTGACATGATGAAAATTTTTAAATAATGCTATTGTTTTTAATGACTAATGTTACAAAGAAAAGCCTAAACCTTTATTTATTTTAAAAAACAGAGCTTATACTTTTCAAATTATTTCAAATTGGCTATCACTGTTTTTTTGCGAAACCATTTGAGGACTGAGTTAAACGCAAGATTCTATGATACAACTTTAAAAGCACCTGGTACAGTTTTTTTTTAGGACTTAAAAAGACGAAAAAAATTTTAGAATTTTCCTTGTAGGAGTAAGCTGGTTATTAATACAGGTAAATGGCCAAAGAAATGTTTTAAGATGAAAAAAAAAAACACTAAAATTTTATCAAATCAATGAAAATTGATTTATTTCTTAAAATGTGTCAAAGAACCTGAAAAACCTGGTGATAAAATAAAAAAAGGAAGTATCTGACAAATAATCACGACTTTGTCTTTGCCATCGTTACTTATCTGACTAGAAACGGCATCGAACCCCGGATCTCTTGGTTCAGAACCAGAATAAAAATTTTTTTTAGTCATATAAGAAAATGTTTTAAACCTAGTTCTAGACATACCATTTCTTTAATTTCATTAGTATTGTGAGAAGTTACCATTAAAGAGTTTATCAATATCTTGCTGGTCCTCAAGAGGTAACGTCAAGGTGTATTACAATTCCAAGAAGAAATAATTGCTATCTTTTATGAACTCGAAAATGACGTTTTTGAAGCATAACTAGGAGCAAAGCCCTGGAGCGCAAACATAGTAGTTTCAGGGGATAGACTTTAGTTGAATCAATCTGAAGTCTGATAGAAATATTCTTGTTGACACTTTGTATTTTCTATAAAATTACGAAGTATCAACATTGATGTTTTTAAATAATATTGTATTAACCACTCATTAATTATTTGAAAAGAAATTACCGATGAAGTTCGTTTAACTTCGTCAACCAAAGTTAAATGAAGTCGAATAGCAAATAATTGTTAAACTTCGGTACAGAAGTTTAAAAAATTACTATTTATTATTCGCAATTCGTTTAATAAAAACACTATTTGCCGGTGCTTTTTAATAAGTACTAAAAAGTAATTAGGAAGAAAAAAAAAAAACAAAAATTTTCTGATGGAAATAAAAAAGGGCATGTTTATCAAACTTTCAATATTAAAAATAAAAACCAAATTTCTTTTCCAAAGAACTTTCTTTGTAATTGTTGCTGGATTGCTAGTTGAGCTAGAAAAACAATGCTTACGAGTCTTTGTACAACAACTATGACTATTTTTAAAATTCATTTTTAAAAATTTGTCTGAACGAAAATAAGAACATATTTGTAAGCAATTTATGTAATAGGATATAAAAAAGAGATTTCACTGGTTTATATTAAAACGATGATATATATTGCTCTGCGAATATTCAAAAGTATTGCTGTTACAAACTATTCGTCAGAAAAATCCTTTTTTGTCTTTGAAAGATAAAATATTAATTTGAGAATAATATTTTCTATAAGAGATTAAATATTCTAGCCATTTTGTCAATGGAATCTGACATTCTAAAGGCTATTTTACTGTTTAATGACGTCATAAAACAAATTACCCAAGCAAAAAGTGCGATGCAAAATTGCGTAAGAAAAAAGCATTTTTATTTACTAACTATTAATGTGCAAAAATGCAAAAATGTGCAAAAATAAAATCTCCACAGAGCAAGCTTTTCAACGCGGGCAATTCTTTTTTGAGTTTGTAGCCCTCCAGATTTGATTATCTGGCTTACTCATACTTGACCAAATTGGTCGAACTGCCATATTCGTTCCAAAGGAGTATATTACCAAATTGCCGTCATCTTGCATAATGAGCTCATATTTGTAAATACCATTAAAGCAATAGAATGTGTCAGAAGCCCAGTATGGATCCTGCTGTTGCCTAAAGAATTTCCAATAGTCATTGTACATAACTAAGTTACCATCATCTTGCATTTTAACTGCCCACATTTTACTCTCTCGATTATTCAGAGATTGCCATATTCTAGCATTCTAAAAAAGTATGTTAGAAATATATATATATATATATATATATATATATATATATATATATATATATATATATATATATATATATATATATATATATATATATATATATACATATATACGTTAATATAACACATATAAAACATAATTTTAAATAAACTGAATATTATTAAAATACTGTTAATGTCAAAGTAAACATTTTTAAATAAATCAAATAAGTTTTATACAAAAATAAACTTACTTGCTGCACATCAAGTACATAAAACTCTCCAGGATTGTTAAAAATAGCACGGTATCTTCCGCTTGACGATTGTAAATAATTTTCGCTAGTCAAAACCTGACCATTGTATATCGAGGTTGGAGGATTTCTTTCAATGATGAGATTAACAAGATCAATGTCAGGGTAATCTGCAACAACTATTCCAAAGTACTGAAATTTATTTTGGTAGATTAGACTTTTGAGAAATGGGTTTATTACTGTAGAAATGGCTTTAGGTGTTGCAACAGATATTAACGCTCCTTTACCGACAGCACTTAAGTAGTTTATAATCTTATTTCTAAACTTAGCTTTATCAACTTGGTCTTTGACGCTTCTTTTTTTGTCGTTATAATTGTCTAACGAAAACGGGGTGTAATCATTAGTTTCATATTGGTCTTGTATATCAAAAGAGTTATAAGGCAAACCAAATCTTATACCATTTCCTAAAAAGTTTTCCAAAACAACAACCTTTTTTCTTGTTTCTTTCAATGTTGGATTGTCTGTGGGGCCGTTCCAAAAATAATTGTTGTACTTATTATAATATTCATTAAAAGTTGCTGCAAACGATCTAGTGTTTCCATCTGGATCGTGCTCTTCTTTAATACGCATGAGCACGGTTTCAGTTGGATTTTGATTCAAAAACTGAATGACACTGTTCATAAAATCATCAAAGTTCATGTTTAAATAAATTGCTCCGTGATGAATTGTAAAAATGTTACTTATATGACGACATCTTATGTCTAAGAAGCGAATGCCATTTTTAAGTTGATCCAAAATATCCCAATCTTGTGTTTTAGCCCAAATTAAGCTAGTGCTGTAAGCGGCTGAATCATGAGTCCCAGGTATAGTAATACTGCCAATATGAATGTTATCAGACAGTCTAGACATCCAAGGATCAGCACTCAGCACATGGAAATTAAAAAAAAATGCAATTGCTGCAATAGACTTCATTTTTTTTTTTACTATGTCACACTGCAATCCAAATTTTTTTTACTATATTCAATTTGATATTCTCCAATGATGTAATCAAAGACGTATTCTATCTAAATATAATAATAAAATGTGTTTTAAAAAAATTCAAATGAAAGCAGTTTATAAATAAAATGAAAGACAAAAAACGTGTCTAATTTTCAACAACATTAAAAATCTGTTTTAATATTGAAATAATAATAATGATAATGAAATAAAAATAATAATAATGAAATGTATTAAAAAAAAAATTAAATTAAAGCAGTTTATAAGTAAAATAAGAGACAAAAGACGTGTCTAATTTTTAACAACATTAAAAATTTGTTTTTTAAAATACTAAGTTAGTAGAAAGGTTTAAGTAAAGTTTAGATTATATTTAAAATAATAAAATTATTTTCTAAATATAATTTATACGCAAACTTAAAATTATGTTATATATATATATATATATATATATATATATATATATATATATATATATATATATATATATATATATATATATATATATATATATATATATATATATATATATATATATATATATATATATATATATATATATATATATATATATATATATATATATATATAACTTAAATTTATGTAATCTCCACGATTAATTTGTATCAAAATTCGCACTTAAAAAAATTATGGGTTTTCGTCTTTTAATAATTAGTTTTATTGATAGAATATTTTAAAGATCAGCACATGCATAATTTGATCTATAAAAAGTCTTTTTTTTTTTAATCATATAATGAAAGTTTATTTCTGCACGTTTAGTGGCAATTGGTTGCAAATAAACAATTTATTTACTTAAGCAAATTCTAAATAATTTTAAACTCCCCGACTCCACTTTAACAAGAGTAATTTCGCTAAAAACCTAAAAAAAAAAATCTCCAAACAAATTTCTAAATTTTTAAATATATTCGTATGCACAATAATCTAAATATATTCGAATATTATGTTCAAATAAAGTTAGATTTTTAAAGAAACTACTCTCTCCTACCTAATTATAGGGGGATAGAGGGTGTCAAATAGTTACGGAAGTAGACACATCAGAAAAAAAATATCATAGATTGGGGTGTTGTAATTGTTAGGTGGAGTTTCAAATTAGTGTTGATTGGGAGAGGGGGTCATTAGATTGGGAGGTTAGAAGTTGTAATATTTTTTTCTTTCAAATTTAAAAAAAAAAACGAATTAATTTTTACTCATTCATTAGTTATAAGCGATCACGTGGCTTTCTGCAACACCTTTGAGTTTTTAGGCTGAAAGAAAGACGTCAACTTATTCAATGACGCTGACACTTAAATTAGTTTTTCATGTTTCTCACTATGAAAATGGCGTTTCAAGTCAGCAATTCCTTTGTTAGCGACGGACCAAAATTTAAAACTCGTTAAAGAACTCTTTTTCAAGATTGAAGACGTTAAACGTAGGTGTAGAAAATTCTTGTTGCCATGCCTTGTAAAAATGGAAGGACAATTAAAAAATATTGGAAGGCAATTGCAATAAGAATCTATATTTACTACTGAAATACATAGTTTTATATAGATAAATAGATGTATTTTTGTATGCATAATGTTATTTTTAAATTTTATTTTTCCACGGAGAGGGATTTAATTGTTAGAGAGGCTGGACGTTAGAAAAAAAATTCTTTAGTTTTTTGTAGTAATTAATTAAAATCAAGGAAATTTTTTCCCAAAATTGGAGACTTACTCCCTCCCTTACAACTAGGTAGGGGAGAGTATGAATAAAGTATATATTATCTATAAATGAATAAATAAAAGTGAACAGCAAATAGAGCAATTAAAAACTTTTTTTTTCAAAGTAACTCAATGAGTATTTTCAAAATTACTCCAATATTTCAATCCCTCTGCAAAATTATTTGAATTTTTAAAATATATCATAAATGTTGATATCTTTAAAAGAGTTTAGCTTTATAAATATTTTAAAACTTCATTTTATTTTTTTTTTAACTCTATATATAAATATATATATATATATATATATATATATATATATATATATATATATATATATATATATATATATATATATATATATATATATATATATATATATATATATATATATATACATATATATATATATATATAAAAATCATGCTTACGGGGACAAAAAGTTAACGGGTACACTAAAATGTCCCCGATAATGCTAATGTCCGTAAGTGTTCGTTTTTTTGTAAAAACTGTCCCGTAAGTGCTAAGCTATACAAATATATGTATGTATATATATATATATATATATATATATATTTATATATATATATATATATATATATATATATATATATATATATATATATATATATATATATATATATATATATATATATATATATATATATAAATGTAAATATATATTTCTTCTTCACTTGATGGTTTAAAATTCAATTGTTTAAGATAACATTATAAAAGAAAATAGCTTCACTTGAAAAATTTAAGGATAAATATAAAGAACGCGGACACTCTATGAAGACAGGCAGAGTCTGTCCCAGAGAACCGCAGTTGAAACTTAGACATTTCTTTCGTTATAGTTTTAAGTTACTTGTCTGTGATAAATTTTCAGATTCTCAATTTCACTTTTCACAGAATTTTACTTTCTCATAATCAAAATATATGGCCAAGTAATCTTCATTCAATGATTATTATTTGGTATTTCAATGATTATTTAATATTTCAATTGAGTCTTTCTGCTTTATTTTCTGATTTCTCCATGAGCTGCATGTTTTTTTTTGTGTTTTTTTTTCTTTAAAGTATATGTACAAATTCAACAATGAAGCATAAATAATTAGGGTGTTTCTTTTTTTCGTTTTATAGTATTGATCTTTATTGTACTGATAAATATTGATCTTTCTTAGCAAATACTTGTAATTTAATTTCATGTTCTTTCTTCGTCTGTAATAAAGTTAACTCTTCTGTGATATATCTGCACAAAGCTACTCTTCTGATATAAAGATTTATGAATATGCACATACACAAATAGACACATATAGACACATACACACATATACACATATACTCGTACACACATCCAGAATCATACATACATATATACATACATACATACATACATACATACATACATACATACATACATACATACATACATACATACATACATACATACATACATACATACATACATACATACATACATACATACATACATAAATATATACATCGTCAACGTCATAGTCATGTAATACAATAAATTTTCAATCCAACGATGACTCAAACCGTTGACCTTGCCCTTGCTTGTTGCACAGAAGGAATCGAAGCTGCAATTTGTCTTTATTTTTGCATGATTAATAAATTTCCGACATTATTTTGATTGCGCTCTCTGCTCATTGATTACTTCTGTATATCTGTAGTATAGATGGCTCTCGCTTCCAGTGATTTTTCAAAGAGCTTAAAGCCTTTTTGTATGGATTCAGTATTTCAGCCATGTTATTAAAATTGTTTTTATTGTACAGTTTTGTTGTAAACCAATGGTTTGCCCAGCAATACGATTTAAATCAACATTAAAATGAATGAATTAAAATGAAGGCCAGGATTGCTAGTATAGCTCTGGAGTACCACCTCGCATTGCTGATCTTGGGTATTTTCTGAAAGCTGATCAATAGAAAATGTCTCTTTTCCTCAAAAAATCGGAACACTCGAGTGAGATGAAACGAAAATCTCACAGCATCTCTAGCCTGATGTTTCGAGAATTGCTTCTGTTCTGTTATCAAACTGTGTTTTCAGTTGTTCGTACTCCTTCAACAGTTGAGATACAAATGAATATTCAATGTTTGGCAATTGTGTTTTACTTCCAAGTTCTTCATCCATCACCAAACAGAGGATTCTATCTAATACATGGTGTTGACAACTGATAAACTGAGGTTTGTTGATGCGTTTCTCTGTGAACATTCGTTTCAATATTACAACAACACTATTCTTTTTTCCAGTTTTAACGCTGGTTGTATCTGCAAAAATCATCTGTATTGAATTTCATAGGTGAAATTCATTAAGGACTTTAGAAATTCTTTAAGCAATAGTTAAAACCCTGCCATCTACCGAGCCAAGGACATTCAATTTGATTTCTCTCCTATCATTTTTAAGGACGACCACTGGATAATCCATTTTGTTGATGTGCTTGCAATCAAAGTGTAAGGACCAACTTTCAATATGCAACTTTTCAATCATTTCTTCCTTCAACTTGACTGCCTCTTTGATTGTTGACTTGTAAATAGCTGATTGACATGGAGTTGGGATGTAAATGCCTTCACGAGCCAATTACTTGCTTATGTTAGCAGCTTTGTTTGTTGTTACTCTTGTGGTGGTCACTAAGTGGACTGCAACTTTGCTTTTATGATGTTTTCTGCTTGGTGTAGGAGTTGTCTCATCTTCTTCTTAATTGTTTTCATATTCACTGTCGTCAGCCTCAGAGTCAGAATCACTAAAACCAGGGTGCGGATTCACAAAACTTTTTTAAGCGTAAGTTTGGCGCAAGTTTGGAACTTACGACAAACTTACTTATTTCAAGTTATGGCATTCACAAAACTTTTTAAGAAAATGCTCAGCTTGATTTAAGCAAGCAAAGTTACGCTAGGTAGGAGCTACCTTAACTTTTGCGTAACTTTAAAATTATGGCGCAGCTCACACATATTGACTTTTTTGTTAAGATTGGTGATGAGATTTTTTTAAATTTGTGATAAATATAGTGTAAATGGGCCAAAAAATTATTGAATTCTCTATACTATACTATAGTATACTCTATACTTTATAGTCTATAGAGTATGCCACATATATACTAAGTAAAGTCATATACTTCATTACAAAGTTTATTATACTTTACAAACTTTATTACAAATGTAGGCATACCTATACATAGAGTATGTAACATCAGGGCCGGCGACAGAGTATTTGGCGCCCTAGGCAAATCTAATACACTGCACCCCCCTTACCAACTTACTTTCACAAAGGAATGCTTAATTTATATTATTACATTTAGTATTTACATTTGGAAGAATATATATATATGCATAATCTTAAATAAACGTATATTCGTATAACTTTTTAATATATAAATAAATAATTCCAAAACTTTACTTTTCGCGCTTTTGTTTTTGCAAAAGTAGAAACGAGTTCCATCAGTTCAATGTTTCTAGCAATATCATGTTCACAGAGTAGCTAATCCAGCAAATCTTTCTTGTTGCATAGACGATCTCAAAAATCTTTTTATCAGTTTGAGTTTTGAGAAACTTCGCTCACCGCTAGCCACGTAAACTGGAAGTGTCAAGAGGATTCTTAAAGCTATAACAGTGATGGAGACACTATCTGTTAGATTATTTTTGAATATAAGTGAGCAATGGGGTTGTCCATTAATTACGTCAACAAAATAAGGGGGAGGGGGTCTGAACTTTTTTGACAGTTGTTGACACGGGGGAAGAGGGGAGGTCAATTAAAGTTGACGTCGACAATATTTTTTTTTTTGAGTTTTATTGCTTAAATAACGGAAAATTAGGCTGAATTTGTAGCATAGTCTCTTTGTATAGGAGGGGGGGAGGGTAATCAAAAGTTGACTACACAGCATAAAGCCAATAGGTGTTTTCCAATGACCTTGTAATCCTACCAGCATAAATACCAATGGTTCTGTAGCTGGTGTATCGGGTTCAATTGCAACAATATCTTTTCCATAATCTGTAAAGCCAATGAATCGACCTGCCTTTTTATTGTTTAAACTGATGTTTTGATTACCATTGCATCTATAATTAATGCACAATCTTTATAATTAATATCAACCACTGCTTTTATACTAATATAACTTAAAACATCTTCAAAACAAAACAGTTTTACAATCTACAAAAGAAGTCTAGTTGGCTAAAGAGCTTGAAGCAGGTAAATGGAGTATAGGCCGTAAAAAGTTTTATGCTTTAGGTGAGTAAAAATGCAGAGTTATTGCAAATTTTTTAATTTCATCAGTATACCTATGCCCTTTAGGAAGTGAGGTATTGTTTTTAAACTGATTTTTTATAATATCAAAAGTCAATCCACTAAAGTTTTCACAAAAAATATTACTGATATTTTTTGTGAAAACTTTAGTGGATTGAATATTATTCATTGAATATTATTAGCAGCATCTTCAGAAACATTTTTTTTTTTGTTAGATTTTTTAGCATAACTTTTAATGAATTTTTTTTTCTTTTCGTCGCAACTTTTGTTTAAGAATTTTAATTTTTGCTTTTAATTTTGCTTTAGTTGGACTTGAATTTGTCGATAATGTAGTTTTAGAAATAATAGTATCATCATTAATAATTTTGTTACTACTTTTGATAATATTAAAGCTACTATTTATATCCACCTGGCAATCAATACTCTCTGTTGTATCTGAAATAACACTATTAATATAAATTGTGTTAATATTAGCAGCAACATTATTGTTATCACTTATATCCGAATAGAAATCGATGTAATGGTGACTGCCTGTTTCTGAAACTTTTTAAATGAGTCTCTTTTTATTTGTTTGTGGCGATATAGAACTAAACTTTCATTTGACTTTTGGTTTTGAATCAATAGTAATAGATGGCACAGAAAAAGGTTTTAATTGCGGTTTATTATTAAAATCAGGTATATTGTAATCTGAAGGTAAAAAGTGATCACTACAAATGCAGCTGTGCTCAGTAGGAATGTTTCACGTTTTATAGCAGCAATCCACTTTTTACAGAGTTTGCTATTACTAATTGGAAATTTATGAAATACTCTGTTGTTGTTTTTCATTGCTCTATTTGTGCAACCTGCTGCAGCACAAGAATTAACCATGATTTCTAATTTTTAAATATTAAATATTATTTGATCCAAACAACCGTGATTTACTATTTTTTTAAATTTGCCCCCCATAATGGCTGATTTTTGCTTCAAAAAATACGCGGAAGTTCGACAGTTATTTTTAATTTTTAGTTAGACTACTGCTCTTACATTGAGGAATGAATGAATGAATGAATGAAAGAACAAATCTTTAGAAATAAAATAAAAGTTTGTTTTAATGTTTTAACTTATTTTTTTAAATTTAATTATCTTAAATTGTTTTTTTCTCAAAATACTATTTTTAGCATGCTGCAATAAATAACTTGAATAACTACTTGTTTGAGTGCTTTGAAATTTTGTACAATTGTAGTAATATATATAATAAACTCATTGAAGCAATAAATTTTTTTGATTTTATTTATAATCAGAGTTATGATGTTCTAAAGTGAGCTATTTTGATATAAATTTTGGCTAATTACTTGTTTATGCTATAACATTTTCATACTTTAAGCAAAGTTAGTGATTTTGCTTCAATGAGTATCTTGTTATACTATAAGTTACTATACTATAAGTACTATAACTGAAAGTTTCAGCTTTCATAGGAACTACAATCATCTGAATACCTATCGATGAATCTCCTGGCATTTTTATGGTTTGTGACACAAAACTAGGGTCCAAATGTGAATTTTTTATTTTTTATTTTTTTTTAAAGCAATTTTTTAATATATCTGAAAAATAATATTTGTTAAAAATAAACAATTTTAGAAATTTGACCACCTTAATTTATTGCAGTTGTTAAATAGATGTTATTAATTTTATTGCAGTTATTAAATATTTATTATATGTAATAATAAATACTCGAATAGCAGTTGTCATCCAACTTGATTAGAAATCATTAAAAGCACTATAACATTTTAATTAATTTCTAAAAAAATAACTCGTTTAAAATAGTACTTTTAATATTTGTAAAGGCGAATAACAATTTTTTTTTGTTGCTGAACTAACAATACAATTTATTACTCCATTTCTCAGAGGTAAAAGTTCATATTGTAAATATGAACTTTTACCCCTTAAAAAATTGATTAAATATAACTATTTTTTTTTTAAGTTTAAATTTTTTTTCACTAATTAACAAATTTTCTTAGATTTATACTTAAAAAGAAAAAGTTGCTACAGTAGTTGCAAAAGTAGTTGAGTATATATAATAGTTGCTCTATTGATACATTTATACTACCTTGTTTATTTTAGTTGAAATGTAAACGAATGAAATCTCATTTTTTGATAATTTAACTTAAACTTACGTAAAAAATCTTGAGATTTTTTGCGTAAGTTAAGCGTAGCTTTTGCGCAAACTTAACTTTGCGCAAACGCTGCGAAATGTTTGTGAATACCAAATAGTCACGAAATAAATTTGCGTACGATTTCCGTAAGTTACGCAAGAGTTACGATAGCTTTGTAAATCCGCGCCCAGGATAGTAAGATGATGAGTTGGATAACTCGTTATCTTTAAGAGGAATGGATCGTTTCTTTACTGGCCGCTTGGCCTGTAGAGTATCCAACTGTTCCTTTGCTATCCACTTGGAGATGGTACAATCGCTTGCCCTTGGAAGACAACCATGTTCCACCCACTTTAGTAATATCAAAAATTTCATCAAGGGATTTGTAGCTTCCCCGCTTGACACATTCATCATAACATTTCAGTATTTTATCAAGCTTTGCTTCTATAACTTGATCAGATACACGAGGAAAATTCAGTTTATTCTTCCACAACTTAGTGACTTCTTTGGAAATTTCCGCTATTCGCTCCTTTCTTTCTTTGATTTTTGGTCCAAGGAAATGGTATATATATGATATATATATATCAAAATTTAACTATTTGATAAAATTTTTTACTTTTTTAACATTTTCAAAAGTTTTAATATTTGTCAAGAAATTATACGCTTATAAAATTATTACCTAAAAGAGTTTATTTATTTTAGGACCAATAGCTTTTTTTGTCCGAAATTTGGACTACGATTTTTAATAACTGTTTACAGACTGTATTTTGAAAAACTCATTTTTAATCTAAAGATAAATGAATTTAAGCTTTAAAGATTTGGATCTAAAATCTCAATAGCTTCAGATTAATATTTTGATTTCATACCACGATTCAACGCCAAATTATTTGCTGAATATGCAATTTTGAACCTTTTTTAACAAAATTTGTATAAACTTATAATAGTATTGTGTTAAAAAGTTAAAAAAAAGTTAAATTAACTTAAAAAAAGAATACCTTACCTTACTGATATAATCATTTTATGTATGAATACAAAAGGTTTGAAATAAAAACTACCAAAAGCTTTATACGTGTTACTCAAATAGAACACGTTCAGCAAATAAATTAAATGTTTGAAGCCTAATGTGTGTTTCCATAGGCATCCGATAAATGCTTTGTTAGAAAAAGAAACATTTTAAATTCTTTATGATAAGCAAGAGGAGACTTAAATGTTTAATTTATTTTAATTTATTTAAACATTTATTTAATATATTTAATTTATTTAAATATTCCCTTGTTTATCATTTAAAAGGACATTTTTTATTATTCCCGTAAACATCATTTTCTAGTTTTTTTATTTTATTTTTAAATAAAAAAAAAAATTATTAAAAAAGAAAAAAAAAAGAAAAACTATAAAGTCTTTGATGTAACAAATATATGATGTAAAAAGTGATAGTGCTTTTTAACAAACGGTGGAAGAGTTAAAAAATAAAAGAGAATGTTAAAAAAAAAAAAAAAGAAGAACTTAAAATACGTCATAATCAATTTTGCTGTTTTTTGTATCAAGTTAAGATACAAAGTGTTCGTTTAAAAGTGATCCATATAATGTAAATTATTTACAGAATAGATCAGTATTAATATATGTAGTGTAAAACAAAACAATTTTAAATGAGAAAATTGCATAATTACTCGAGTCGAAATGACCGAGACTTGTTTCGTACTTAGATATTTATTTCACTTTTTTTTATTTAACAGGTTTTGATTTTTTGAAAATAGAATTTCATATTTTTTTATTTATACATAATTTATAGGATTATAAATGGTAGGGTTATAAGCATGGGTTATAAGCGTGGTAGGGTTATAAGCATTGCACTGTTTAATTTTTTTTATTTAACAACTGTATTCAAATTTGCATCTTTAAATTTCCAAAAATCTTTTAATAGTTCAGTGTCATTTTTGTTCTTAAGAAAAATAAATGATTTTATACGGTTAACATATTTAATTTTGGATGGTGTTTCATTTATACCGAGGTAGAATTTATTAAAAAGAGTGTGAGTAGGATCATTGAAACTTACATTAGCTTGGTATACAATGTTTTTTGTTAAAAAAAACATTGTATACCAAGCTAATATAAGTTGGTTTGATAAATGGCAGGTATTCTTATTAAGGCAGTTGCAACTGGTTTTAGGTAAAATTTTGTTGTTTTATTATATTGGGCGGGTGGTTTGAGCTTGAATCTAGTTTAAAAAAATTCCGGGCTTAAAATATTGTTTAAAACTCCCAGAAGCTCGCGCACTTCAGCACCGTCAAATGCTTCCATTAAAACACAAAATAAACCATTTGATTTTTTGATCCAAACTTGATCGTCATTGAACAATAATAACTTTGAATGATAGATCAAAGGTTTATGGTTAAGGTCAAAAGTTAGATGTTGCTTATCAAAACTAATAGCTCTGTTGTGAAGTTTTTTAGTTATCGAAGGGTAAAAATCAACAATATCAATAATAATTTTTTTTATAAATTTCGTTGCAAAAGACGATTTTAAATCAAAATATTATTATAAAAAACGTTTATTCCCGATGGAACTGAGTTTGTGGTACCTTGTGTTTTTTTTCGTTGATTGAGATGAAGTATGTTTACAAGCCCAGAATTTAATTGGATAGTATGACTTAACTAATTCTGCCGATTTCATTATTAGCAGGGTTAATAAACGGAGAGTTGGATTAGTTGTAAAGTTTTCTTTATGATCTTTTAATTTTATACAACAATTTGAAGATGTGTTAATATCAGTTATATTAAAACTGTTGTGATTCTGTAAGTTGTGTTTGCTATCTTTATTAATTTGATTCGTAATTTTTGTGCTCAATTTTTTGTATGTTGAGGTAATAATATTCGTTAGTAAATTGCAGTTTTTTTTAGATATATTATATAAATTGGATGTTTTATTGCAAAAAGTATAAATAAGATTACTAATGCGTATGGTAGATGTCATCTTTTAACTTGTCTTAGATATTATTGTATACTTTACGAAATTTAATGTTTCTTATTAGATTTAGGAATATAAATATCTTGTTGTTGTTGTTGTTGTTGTTGTTGTTGTTGTTGTTGTTGTTGTTGTTGTTGTTGTTGTTGTTGTTGTTGTTGTTGTTGTTGTTGTTGTTGTTGTTGTTGTTGTTGTTGTATTTATCAGATTGTTTTTAAATCCAAACTTATTGGAAATTTGTTTAAGATAATTTGATATTTTTATGCCCATACTATTATAAAAAATTTTGATTTTTATTAAAAAAGAAGAGAGCTGTTAATCCCATTCTTTTAATCAATGCTTCGGTTTTATCAAGCAATTGTCTTTTGTAGCCTTTTATTGATGGAATTGGAATGTTCTAGACGATTGAGTGCTCAACATATGGAGCTAATTATAGTATATTATTATTGTAGTCATTATTATTATTACTATTATATATATATATATATATATATATATATATATATATATATATATATATATATATATATATATATATATATATATATATATATATATATATATATATATATATATATATATATATATAGTATATATATATATATATATATATATATATATATATATATATATATATATATATAAATATATATATATACATATGTATATATATATATATATATATATATATATATATATATATATATATATATATATATATATATATATATATATATATATATATATGTATATATATATATATATATATATATATATATATATATATATATATATATATATATATATATATATATATATATACAGAGCCGTACTTTCGCAAGTGCAACAAGTGCAATCGCACTGGGCCCCCGATATTTAAGGGGCCCAAAATATTAAAAATACGTTTTTCTAATATGAAACTTATTTATAAGAAATAGCACTAGAATCTAATCTTAAGAACCTTTAGTACTAAATTACTTTTCGATTAGAAACTTATTTTATTAAAAGCTCGAGGAATATTTTATAATGTTTTATCGCAAAAAGTATAAATAAGATTACTAATGCGTATGGTAGATGTCATCTTTTAACTTGTCTTAGATATTATTGTATACTTTACGAAATTTAATGTTTCTTATTAGATTTAGGAATATAAATATCTTGTTGTTGTTGTTGTTGTTGTTGTTGTTGTTGTTGTTGTTGTTGTTGTTGTATTTATCAGATTGTTTTTAAATCCAAACTTATTGGAAATTTGTTTAAGATAATTTGATATTTTTATGCCCAAGGGGCCCAAAATATTAAAAACACGTTTTTCTAATATGAAACTTATTTATAAGAAATAGCACTAGAATCTAATCTTAAGAATCTTTAGTACTAAATTACTTTTCGATTAGAAACTTATTTTATTAAAAGCTCGAGGAATATTTTATAATTTTGCACGCGCAATTGAATGAAACTCCATTCAAATGAAAATGAAATTCCCCTCAAAATTTCTCTTTGGTAAAGTTTTAATCTAAAAATTAATTAAATGGAAACAAAAAAAATTTGGTTAATGTAATAACGATTTAATTTGAAAAATAATATTTTTCAATTATATTTCAAAAATATCTAATTGTTCTGTTGTTTTATTATTTCAAATTGTTAGTTTTCATTTATTTTTTAAACAGTTTTGTTAACATTTTTAAACTCACTTGTCGTTTAATTACTTCAAATGTCGAAAAAATGTTATGAAAGCGACGCACAAAAAAGAGCGAAACAGATCTGGAAAGTAGCAGATATAAATAGCCTTGCTGGGTCATTAGGTAAATTTTTTAAACGAGGCGAAAGTTCGTCAGTTTCGAACACTACTTTAATCGAAATATACAATTTAAATGGTAAACCTCAATTTAAAAACAATAATGTTGAAGAAAATATGAATGAGCCACAACTTCAAAACATCGATTACCAGAACAAGAATGTTGATGGTGAATCAGGATCCAATAGCGTCAATATTGAGGATATTATATCTAACAAGACTTCAGAAATTAGTGATTGTTTACAAACGGAAAGCAGCAAAACCAAATTGCAATTATGATATATTAGATCTTGCAACATGACCTGTTGAAATCGACAACAAACAACGGATGTTTTTAGTAGAGCAGTCACCAAAAAGTATTAAAGATATCCAATTTAAAAAAAATTCTCAAGGAAGTTGTTTCAGTGACACTTTTTTTTACCGACAAATAAAAAATGGTGAAAAAAAAAATTAAGAAATTAGCTTTTATTTTCTAACTTGACAGGAAAAGCTTTTGCCTCTGTTGTCGTTTGTTTTCATTGATAAAGATAAGCTTAACTTTAAATGGATATTCTGATTATTCCCATACAGGAATATGGTTATCTGAACATGAATATTACAGGAAACATCTTGAATCAGTGTATAAATGGCGAATTCTAGAACTTAACATTAAACACAGAACAGGAATAGATCATCTCAATAAAAATGGGTTTCATTAAGAAAAACGCAGATTGCGAATAATTTTAAAATGTATTGTAAAAAAGGTATTGCTTTTAAGTGAACGAAATCTAGCTTTTAGAGGGCAGCAATAAAAAACTCTTTGAACCAAATAATGGTCATTTTTTAGGAGTAACTGAATTACTTGCTGGTTTTGTTCCAGAACTCAAAATGGATTTAAAATCGATCACTGATACAGAAAAAAGAGTTACATCATATTTTTCTGTTAAAAGTCAAATCGAAATTATCTTACAACTGGCATCTAGAGTTTTATATATTACTTACAATTTTCAATATTACTTACAATTTTTAATATTACTTACAATAGTAAGTAATATTAAATCATCAAAATACTTTTCCCTAATGATAGACTCCAGAATGATAGATTCTACACCAGATTTTCGCAAAAAAGACAGCGGACCAAAAGCCAAGTGTTCAAGAGAGTTTCTTTAACTTTGTAAATATAATGTTATCAACCTGAGAAAATTTAGTAAACATTCGTATTGAAGAATTAGAAATATTAGGAATCAAGAATGCTGATTATCGTGGTCAGTCGCATGAACGCGTTAAAGCTTAATAAAATATTTCTAGTTACAGTTTTTACTTAGTAAGACAGCAGTTGAAGTCTCTCAAAACTTAAAATTTATTGCATCTAATTTCAGTAGATTTCCGTCTGCTCAATTCATTACCATATGATCAGTGGC